CAGATTTATTAACCAGATGCTGCTTGTGTTTTAAGTTGGCTACTATGTTTAGCCATCTGGCCAGAAAGTTGCTTCACATTATTGTGGATAACTTCCATATGTTTGGTGTTGAAACACAATAGAACATCTTTATCGAAAAATCTTCTGATGGGCTAATTTAGGGATTAGAACTGACTGTAGGTGGAAGGAAAGCTGTGCGGTGGAATCTACCAGAGATGGCGATGAGTAAAGAGAGTGGCGGCCGTGCCTCTGCTCCAGGTTTTCCTCCTTCCCTCCTCTACCCAACCCAGTGATGACATCACAACCACCAATTTTATGTCTTTGGGCATACCGGTGTGTATGTGACTGCATGTGTGTGTGTATATATATATATACACACACACATATATATATGAGTATGCATATATATGCACACACTTTACATATACACACACAAATATATATATACACACACACACATACCCCCCCTAAAATACATATAGCATATGTGTGCTTAAAACTATCCATACTCTTCACATGGTAATTAGTAACATACGTTTCATTTGGGCTTTGTAGATCTGTAAAATTTCTCGTTGTAAGACAAAGTCACTATTGCAATGGAAGAAAAAATAGAGTAAGTTTTTTTTTTTCCAATTTCAAGGGAATACATTTTAAGTTAAAGAAAATGACCTTGCAGAATTATGTTTCCTAATATTTGTGGGTGACCCTGACTTTCTATGATATTTTCATCTGCTCAGTTGCTGGGATTGAAGTTGTGTTAGAGAATTCAAAGCTCTTGGTTTGTGTCCATGAAGTTCTGAATTCTTGTTGTTCTAGAATTCTTGACTTGGACTTGGTGGTGAGAGATGAAGATGGGAACATTTTGGATCCAGAATTAACGAGCACGATTAGTCTCTTCAGAGCTCACGAAATAGCTTCTAAACAGGTGGAGGAAAGATTACAAGAAGAAAAAGTAAGTTCAACTTTTGATAATATCTGCTTATGTTTGGGGTATATTTTCTCAGTAACAGTTTTCAACATTAGTAAAATAACAGTGAAGCCCAGAATTGCACTAAAAAGGACCTGAGAGGCACAGGTACACAGTATATTTCATACAGTGATGAATGGAAGGGAGCTCAGTGTCAAAACATGTTGATGACCTGAAACGATTTCATCCTTCTGGGGGGTGTGCACAGCATTGTGCTTCGTCTGAGGAGGCAGGATCTTAATGACATTGATTTTGTGTTCTCATCTCATGGGAAACAATACTTGATTTTGGATTTCCTCTTTGGTAGGAGTAGGGGAGTGACGTATTCTAAGGTTGATGGGGACAAGGAACACATGTCTTATTGATCTTTTTCATTGTCCATGGCCTTTAATGGTATCTTGTATGTAGTAGTTAATCAGAAATTGATTGACTCATTGAGTCATCCGTTCATTCAGCAAGTATTTATTGAACATTTACTGTGTGCCAGGTAATGATGAATAAGACAGAGATGTCCTCAGAGGGTTGGGGGAACCAAAAATTGAACAAGCAACCACACATGTAATCACATTTCTGATTCATTGCTTGACACTTGAACGTCAGTATCTCTGAAGAAAACCCTCAGTACCAACTGATATGGGATTGGGACCGTTGCACGAGGCACTGTTGTTTTTACTTGGGTACATGCATGTTTGAAAATGTGAAGTGGGGACAAGGAAGTGACTGCATGGATGGCTATGCTGTGTTATTGCAACTAGTTGTGCACGGTTTTCTATTCTGTAGGGAATAAAAAGAGTGAGGGTTAGCGATTGAGTGTTGCTAATGTCAACTTTCTGCTTTATTTCCACTTGCAGTCTCAAAAGCAGAACATGGAGATTAACAGACAAGCTAAGTTTGCTGCCACCCCCTCTCTGGCCTTGTTTGTCAACCTCAAAAATGTGGTTTGTAAAATAGGGGAGGATGCTGAAGTGCTCATGTCTCTTTATGACCCGGTGGAGTCCAAATTCATCAGGTCAGTGACAGTCCCTGGCTGCCGTCTCTCTTCTTTTGCAGTGTTAAGAAAATGGCATCTGAACCACTAGAATCTCGCTCTCGCAGAGAGCTCCTGGTGGACCAGCTGGCCAGACTTCCCAGAGCAGCTGAACCCAGTGCTCTTTTGGGACAGTGTGATGGGGCAGCTGGCTTGGGCTCAGGGCAGGGTCAGCTTTCTTGTGTGTACACGGGTATTTGATTGTAGAGTTTTACTCTTGTAAAGTGTTAAGGACCAAGCAACCAAAGATTGAAGTAATACTTTGTGTTCTATGTTGTCTTCATAGGATTTTATATTTCCAGACTCCCCAGGTATCACTCTTCTCTTAATCTTGCCTTTTTGAACTTTTGTTCTCTATGAATGTCATTTCTGAATCTTTGACCTATTGTTATTTCTCCAACATGATTGGCTAGAATACAATGTCTAGAACAGTGCCTGCTACCTAAAAGCTCTCAATTAATATTTGTTGAGTAAAATATTGTAAATCTCATCTCTGCCATTCCTGTCATTTCTGATATGGTCGTCTCTTTCCCAGTTCTGCTTTTGTCTCTAGTATAACTTTCTCTTTGTCCAGATGGAAAAATTATGGTTTAAATTATGTGTGATGTGTGTGTGTTTAAAACTCCAGTATCTACACTTGTGTTATTCAAAATTTAAAAACTTAGTATATGATGGAAAACAGAACGAGTAGGTGAGTTTTACTCTCACTTCTACAAGGGGATTATTTCTTCTTGACAGTGGAAACATTTTGTATTTTTAGGTCATATTTGACTTGTCATAGGCTCTGAAATAAACTTGCAGTATTTATTTTATACTATAAATGAATGAATGGTGAATTTTATTCTATGGTCATGCTAAATGAACAAATATGCTTTTAAAATCATAAGCTTTCAAATGCCATTTGCAAATAGTTCCATTGCAGTTAAAACCCTAGACATCCAGGCCCGGCCCCGTGGCTCAGTGGTTAAGTGCGCGCGCTTTGTTGCTGGCGGCCCGGGTTCGGATCCTGGGCGTGCACCGACGCACCGCTTCTCCGGCCATGCTGAGGCCGCATCCCACAAACAGCAACTAGAAGGATGTGCCGCTATGACATACAACTATCTACTGGGGCTTTGGGGGGAAAAATAAATAAATAAAATTATTAAAAAAAACCCAAAACCCTAGACATCCAAAATGAAAACCTCCCATGGATTTTGTCCAGGCAGTCCTCGAATACTACCTGTATGGGAAATTACTTATCTTCTCTGCTACTGGAAGAGTAGCTCTATTTGCCGTTGTTGATATTTCTGAACTCAGATAGTTGGCTGTGCGATGGACCTCTGTGGGATTATTTTCAAGTCAATGAGGATGTACATTTGGTATCCTGTTGTATTTGGAAAATTAATTTGCTTTTATTTCTTTGTTTTTCCAGTGAAAACTACCTGGTTCGCTGGTCAAGTTCAGGATTGCCTAAAGATATAGACAGATTACATAATTTGCGAGCTGTTTTTACTGTAAGTGCACCCAAAGATGTTCAGATCAGTCACTCGCCGTTCTAATGATTATTTTTAATGACCTCCCTCTGACTTCTCACCGCACTAGATCATGGGTCCTTGGGATGCTCGTAATGCATGTTAATTTAGTAATAATAAAACGCCTTCCCAGAAATCTTCTGAGTCTCTAGCTTCCCTTAAAATCCCCTTGACAAAGATTTACTCGAGCATTTCTCTTAAACTTGTGTCCTAAGTTCACTTAACGTTAATTGACTATTGTTATTCAGTTTTTTTTGTCATGTGAGTAACTTATTAAAATGCTAAAAACTGGTCCAGGAAAAGAGGCTCAGTCTATCCTTTTACTGTCTGTTTCAATTGAACCTGCATTGAGTAATGGTTCTCCGAAATAATTTATGGAAATTAATATTTCCAGGACCTCGGAAGCAAAGACCTGAAGAGGGAGAAAATCAGTTTCGTTTGTCAGATTGTTCGAGTGGGTCGCATGGAGCTGAGGGACAACAACACAAGGAAGCTGACCTCGGGCCTGCGGCGGCCTTTTGGAGTGGCTGGTAATCCATTTCTCTCCTTTCCCTTAAGTTTCAAGATCATCCCATTCACCCTGAGTAACAGCTGCTGCTGAATACTGGACAGTGGGCTGCTTGATTTATAAGCTTTTCTGTTGGAGAGCAAAAAAATCTGTTAGTTCTTTTCTGTGTGCTCTCAAGTCGACGTGCTGCTCAGGATGCTTCGGTCCTCAAGCTTCAGACGTAAATTATATATTTGGTTTTAAAGTGGATCGCATCTCCTGGGGGAGACTCTGACCCACATTCTCAGCCTGGCGGGGTCATGGGAGGTAGGCAGCGTTTCTGGACTTGGTGATTGGTTGATGTAGGAGCGAATTTGCACAGAATGGTCAAAGAGATAAAGAGAGAAGGAGAAGGAACCGTGAAGAGGACATGGTTATCTTAAAATGGGTGCTTCTTATCTTCCATGTTTGTATTGTTATTTTGGTGACAGCACAAGAGGAGGGAGAGATTAGTTATCTCTGTTAAGGAAGGATAGAAGGGTCCCTGCCAAGTTCTGATTAGTTGACCTCTTTCACTGTGTCTCTCATTTTTCACAATTTGGGAAGTGATTTTCTCTCACTGTTGGATGGTTGCAGTGGAGTTTCATTACACAGCCCTTATTTACTCTTGTTCTGTCTGTGATTCTTAGGATTTATAGCAATGTGGATGTGGGGAAAGTTCTCATTTCTGACACATAGCTGGATTTCTGGTATGAACAGCAGTGGAACACATTCTTTGCCTTGGCTACCGGGAAACTCGGGGCTTAGTTTTTGTTTGTTTGCCTCTTCTAAATTGATTTCATTTTTAGAGCAGTTTTAGGTTCATAGCAAAACTGAGCAGAAAGTATAGAGATTTCAGAATTCCCATGTACCCCCCGCTCCCCGACACACGGCCTCTCCCACTGTCAGCATCCCCCAGCAGAGTGGTTTATTTGTTACAATTGATGAACCGACGTTGACGCATCACAATCACCCAAAGTCCGTAGTTTACATTAGGGTTCTCTCTGGGTGTTTTATATCCTATGGGTTTCGACAAATGTGTAAATGACACGTATCCCCCATTAGAGTATCATACAGAGTTTTCACTGCTGTAAAAATCCTCTAAGCTTTGCCTGGATTTTTTTGAAAAACATATCAAATCATTTAAATAAATGATTTACTACTTCATAAAGATTAATAACAACGATACAGGCATTATAAGAAAGAAGCACATTAATTCAGTTTACTTCCATTTACCAACAGGGCTCTGTAATGGAGTTCCACTGAATTTTCTATTTTTGAGTGGAATTTTGAAGGTGAGATTGCCTTTCTGAGTCCCCACAACCATGGGCTCTGGAAATCTTTTCACATTTTCATCACTTATTACTTGAATATATACTTTAAAATTGTGCCTCTATTTTTCAGAACCTGTAGCAATCTTTTATGTGTAATCTGATATTATAGTTGAAATACCTGTAAATTTTTGGGAATTCTTTTTTCTCTTTCCCACCTCTATGATAGTTTTAACGAAATATTTTACTTGTACCTCAGGTGTATTAGGCTTCCCTTAAGTGACGAGAGCAATCTGTGACAGTATATGAAAGCCAGGGCTCTGTCCAACACTGATGCTGTAGATTCTCTGGTTATTAGATTACCAATAAAGTGATAAGTTCCTACGAGTGCATAGTTAGATTGCTTAAAACAATCATGACATCCAGACCAGAAGCTAACAGTTTTCTCTTCCATTTGATTACAATGGGAATTTTCTCAGCTTTCATAGGTTGACTTTTTTTTTTTTATAATTTTATTTATTTATTGTCCCCCCAAAGCCCCAGTAGATAGTTGTATGTCATAGTTGCACATCCTTCTAGTTGCTGTATGTGGGACGTGGCCTCAACATGGCCGGAGAAGCGGTGTCTCGGTGTGCGCCCGGGATCCGAACCCGGGCCACCAGCAGCGGAGCGCACGCACTTAACCGCTAAGCCACGGGGCCGGCCCCATAGGTTGACTTTTGATGCTCCAGGAAGGCCTAGGGAGGAGGGGAGGAGAGGCTGATGGTCGCAGGCCCAGCCGATACCACAGTGGTGTTTCATCAGTTTCAGCGTGCTCTTTGCTCTTGTTGGGGTCTGGAGTTAGGGGACTCTCAGGAAGCAGGCTAGAGCCCGCCAGCAGTGGAGTTCTCTGTGAATTACTGACTTCCGGGTTCTTCTCTGGAGGCGGGCAGGGAGCCCTGACACAGTTCCTGTTTTTGGAGGCCTCACCTGTGTCACCTTGTTAGAGATACCTGGGCCTCTGTCAGGTGCCTGGAGCTTGGGTCCCTGGCTGCAAGGCTGCCATTGTCTGGTCCCCAGATTTCTGCTGACCCCGGGGTCCCTAGTTGCTTATGTCTGGACTCGTCCTTGGCTCCTTACTTTTCTGTCTCGTGTCCCTAGTACCACTGGTCTCTGGGAGGTGGGGCTCCTGGAAGCTCTCCTGGGTCCAAGTTCTTGCCTTTCTGGCCTACCTTTTGCCCTGTGAATTCTGTGTGTGTGTTGGGGGGTGGCTGTTCCCTGCTGCTCCTCTCTGCCTGGAGGCTTCTCCCTGCTTTTTGGCTGCAAGAACCTGTGTGAAGTGCTTCAGAGACCCTGGGAGGCATTTTTTGCCCTTGTTGGAAGATTTCAGACCTGTTGCCGTTAGAGTCGGTTTCCCGGTCTGAGGGGTGTCCCTCTGCTCCCCTCCAGTGCAGCAGTGGACAACCTGTTATTGTTGGTTACTTGTCTCCACTCCCCGTGTGGTGATGTCCCGTTCATTCCCGGGTGCCGAGCTCCGATGGGGCGAGGCGTGAGGGAGTGAGTGCTCTCTCAGCTTCCGCTTCATTCCAGAGGGGCCCGCTTTCCTTGAGCTGTGTAGCTGGTGTGTTTCTGTAAATAACACGTAAGGATCTGAGTGTTCTGTTTATATATCTTCCAACTTCCTACTGATATCTCCATGCTGAGATGGGGGGAATACATTTCATCATGTGATTTGGCTATGTAGATTTTTGGCACAAAAGGTAAATATTTTAGTGCAGTGGTTCTCAACCCTAACTGTGTATGAGAACAGTCTGGGGAGCTGTTAAAACATATTGTTGCCTGGGCCACTCTCCAGCCAGTTAAATCACAATCTCTGCTTTAACCAGCATCGCCTGTGAGCCACTGTGGGCAGCGCAGTGACTGGCAGGACGCTTCTGTCAGACTGCCTTGCCTACCTCATTACAAGGTGGCACTCAGCGTGGCCAGTGGGGCTTCCTTTCATAGTGCGCGCTTCTAACCCTCTCAGTGCATCCTCCGACCTCACGTTCTCTTTCTGGTTAAGAATGGTCACTTCTCCACCTCACAAAGTTGATCCGCTTTTTGATAACTGTATTCTGTCCATTTGTATGCAACTTCAGTTTCCATATATGAATATAAGTTTGAAGCTTTATCCAGAATAATTTCTGCACATTGTGTCGACAGAGCCCAGTTCCTTAAAATGAGCAAAGGGTTTGTGGACCTGTAAGCCTACAGTTCTAAGTCTTTTTATTGAAAATATTATGTCACTTTTTTTTTTTTTTTTTTGCTGAGGAAGATTGGCCCTAAGCTAACATCTGTTGCCAATCCTCCTCTTTTTGCTTGAGGAAGACTGGCCCTGAGCTAACTTGTGTGCCAGTCTTCCTCTATTTTAAATGTGGGACGCTGCCACAGCATGGCTTGATGAGCGGTGTGTACGTCCACACCCGGGATTCGAACCTGCAAACCCTGGGCTGCCAAAGCGGAGCGCGCGAACTTAACCACTATGCCGCCTGGCTGGCCCCCACATGTTTCTTTTTTTTACCTTTTTTGTGATGTAAAAGTGATATAAAATTGTAAAAGTTATCAAAAGAAAAGAATAATTAAAATGTAGTTATTCATAATTCTTTGTAGCTGGGGTTGTACCTCGTGATATTCTGGTGTATTTCTTTCTAATTGTTTTTCTCTGTGTGTGTGGTATGTAATTTTAAAACAAGATCAGATCATACTGTGTCCTTTTTCTTTTTATTCGTTTTTTTGGTTTGTTTATTTATTTATTTAGTCTCTTTAGTCTCTTTTTTATTTTTTTACCATTGTAACCATTTCTGAGTGTACAGTTCAGTAGTGTTAAGTATATTCACTTTGTGTATTTTGTACTTTTTATCTTTGAAAAAAACCATTACATTACGAACATTTCATTTTATTAAGGATTATTCAAAAATTGGGGTCTTCGATGGCTGCAATCTGTGGCTGCTCATTATTTCAGCAACCCTTTATTTCTGGGCTTTGAGGATGTTTCTAGCTTTGTGGTATAGTAGGTACATGGTGAACATCCTTGAACTTGGGTGTTTGTTCGCCTCTGACTGTGGAAGGTGAGCACACGGAAGTGGAATTGCTGAATGGATAGGCGTGTGCACCCAAGGCGGACTGAGGTACTGGGGATGGTCTCCTGCGTGTTTCTTTTCTTTTTTTTTTTTGTGAGGAAGATCGGCCCTGAGCTAACATCTGCCAGTCCTCCTCTTTTTGCTGAGGAAGACTGGCCCTGGACTAACATCCATGCCCATCTTCCTCCACTTTATATGGGACGCCGCCACAGCATGGCTTGACAAGCGGTGCGTCGGTGTGCGCCCGCGAACCCCGGGCCATTGCAGCGGAGCCCGCGTATTCAACCACTTGCGCCACCGGGCCGGCCCTTCTCCTGCGTGTTTCTCATCACCTGCCTTCCAGTTTCCTGCTTTTGTTGTCCCTGATCCTCCATCACCATTATCCTCACGCCACCTTCCTTCTCCTACCGCCTGCATTCCAGTGTCATGCGATGTCATCTGTTTGCTGGGCCTCTCACGCCCTGCTCTGTCACACAGCCATGGTGACTACATACAGCTGGACTCTTGGCTTCCTTAAGACTTAAGACTGACCCTCACATCTGAATGTAGAGACCCTGGGCTGTCAATTTGGGGGTGATTCCCCCTCCAGTCCTCCATTTCCTCCTTTGGTGACGGGACCTTTTGAGGCCTAAAGTCTCCACCACAGTGAGAACTTCCTTGGCACGGCCTGTGTGCCGAGAAACAGTGAGGGAAAGTCCTTGGGAAAGTATGTGATGACCGTGATTTCAAAGCCACCTCCTCCGAGGCTTGGGATGGGCAGGCCGGAAGGGTTGTCACTTCTAGAAGTAGCAGGACTAAGGCTGCTTTCAGCGTATTGGTGCTCCGACTGGCGTTGCACTTCTGGCTCACGTGCTGCCTTCCTACGAATAGTTACCGGGCTGCCGATGTGTTCCCGGGCTAGAGGCTGGGGTTTCGGCAAGGGAGTTGGACGATCAGGGAGACTCACAATCACCTGCTGGGATGAGTCCCGTGACAGAGGAGAGAGGTCTGTGGACACATAGGCAGGCCGCCCATTGCAGACTAGGGTGCTGGGGATGGTCTCCAGTTTCAGACTCACCTTGTTCTGGCCCAGAGCCGGTTGTGTGGGCTGCTGCAGAAATACTGGAGGCTGACTGGACTTTGGCCATAAAATGAGCTCTATTTGATGGTTCTGAACTGGTGGTAAAAATGTGGTCTTGGGCATATGAGCATCTTAACAATAGGTGGATCCCGTGATCTAGTGCTCATCAGTCGCCCAAGAGCGCTTGAAGCTGGGAGAATCTTCTAGCAGGTGGAGACTGGAATCCAGGCCATTTGTCTTCTCAGCAACCACAACTTGATGTTCCAATTTATTTGCCATACTTTGACTTGTATCTCTAAACATTCATAGGCTCTTTGCTCTATGAGTAGTACTGGTTCAGTGGAGTGTGTGTGGGTGTTTTCCCCCAGGACACACGTGTAGGCTCCGTGGGCTTCATCACACCAAGCAGGAGGTGGGAATGCTTCTGTTCTGGTCCTATAGATCTCTCTTCCGCTTTTTTTGGTTGGGGAGGGTGGAAGAAATGGAAGTTGTCCACATTTTCAGTGTATGATTATAGTCATCAGGAAATGGATTGTGCCAAAGAAAATAAACGAGTTATGTTGCTCCCTTATCTTTAGTCAAGTGGGAAAGTTGAACAGAGATAGAGAATGTGACCAGTGCCAACTAGGGCTTTCTTAGGATTTCTCACTGTGTTCCTCAGAGCTTGGGC